GTCTATTTTGGCCTTCTCCCTAAAGGACCATAATGTTTCAGGACACTGAGATGTTAAGTTAAAAATCTCATTTATAGATAACTTTTAATAGTTTCAATGCTTTAATTGTTGAGAAACAATGGTAATTTAACCAATAAGAAAGGCCAAATCTCACACCAAATACAAGTTCTGAAAGTGTGCATCCCTTGATGTGACATGAATCAAATTTGTCAAGAAAGGTCTATACATTGTATCATTCTGTAGTTTCTTTGGAATTGACCATTTTCAAAACTTACCTGTATACTGTAAACCAACTTTTATTCACTTGCGAGAAATTTTCGCGATGTTCGCGAGAGCTATGTCATCGCGAATATTTCTTGCCGCGAACCGGTTCTTAAGGTTTATATGCCTATAAACAACAGGTCCAAAAAGGCTTTATCGCGAAAATTAATCGTCCCGAACTAATTTATCCATGGTAAATCGCGAAATAAAGTCGTCGCGAATAAAAGTTGGTTTACAGTAACTGAGTACCTGACGCATATTTTTAAAACAATGTAACCAGTTTTGTTTTTAAACAAAGGAAAATTAAAAGGATACGGACTAGGAAACATTCTTTTGAGATCCACTTTCTCTTTACAGTACGGACAAGTCTGCTTCTTCCCCACTATACACCAGCCTCGTATACAGAACTCGTGGAATCTGGCTAGGTTAAGGAAAACACTTCAAAAATCAAAGCTAGAAATGCAAACACGATCAAGTTATTTACTCTCCCAACTGCAGCAAAACACTATATATTATTTCTTTCTGATCTTTGTATTGCGAATAGGTAAATTAAATATTTTTAATATTCAAGTTAGGTAAAATGTTTACGAAAAAAGAAATTTCATTTTGTTTTTCCAAGATACTTCCCACAAAAAATATAATTGTCATGACTGTATTGGAAAGTATGTTTCATATTTAATAGCTTTTCAAAATGTTACAAGGGGAGAAAATAAAAGAAGGCAGATTATGTCTGTCTTGACAACAAAGGATACATATGATCACAGCCTAATTTACAGGTAGCTTCAATTATTGCATCATCATTGTTCATGACTAAAATAGGATTCCCACAGATTCCACACACATTGGGGTCCAGTCTCTTCCCAGGAAGCCCTGTAGGTGTATAATACTGAAAAGGAAACATTAAAATCAATTCAACACTAAACTTGAAATGCATTGCATTTTTTTTATTAGGCCAAAATAAAAAATACTCTTGTTTCCTGTCACCCGACCTACCCTACATTTTACCCTCCGACCCTAAAGGTTTTTATTACATTTTCATTTTTCGGGTGACTATTTTCCTAAAATACTAAAGTCGACCAACAATATTTACAGAAATATTACATCACAAGTGTACAGGATACCTTTACTTTATAAATCTTCATTACCAAACTTGCTCTGTAAACTGTTAATATATCATTTTCTTGTTATTACATGATATATGTTCTGCATCCATTGAGTTTTCAAAATAAAATTTTTTCTCAAAATAAAATTTTTTCCCTACCTACCTACCCTAATTTTTTGGTCAGGGGACAGGAAACAAGAGTATATTTTCTTTTGGCCTTACACAAAAAGACATTTAAATCATAAAAACTTAAAATTGAAAATTAAATTGCTTGGTACACTAAACCATGATAAAAATTTAATAGGATCCCCAGGGAAGTAAACACATTTTCCTACTCTATTTTGTATCACGAGAAGAAATAAATGTGTTCATTGTAACAGGGTAGTGCCTAATACCCGGGGTAGAAGAATTTTCTCCACCAATAAAAATGTAATCCCCTGATTATTCTAGGATTCTACTTCAACCCCCTGTTAGGTGATAAACCCCAAACCCCTTTCTACTACATGTAGTTTAATGTCCCTGCTTTATCAATTCTTAGGGAAGACCCTGAATTGTCGAAAATGTTAATGTTTCAATTGTATTCACTGCTACTTTTACTTTAAAAGGTATAAAGCTCAAGCCGTACCACCTAAGTAACTTAACTGAGCTGAAATACATGTACCGGGGGTATACCATTTGACCTACCCCAATGTGTGTTGCCATGGTGTCTGAACACACTTCAGCAAAATCTCTGGCTACTACTCCAAAGTAGAGTCCATAGAAAAGAAGTAAAAGTCCAAAGTCCATAGAGACTTGTGGTTTGATTAATAAAATAAGATTTAGTCCTAATAATGTGAACATCACTGACATATAGCCCACGATTCCTAAGAAATAGCTGACTTTGTATATTATCAGGAACCACTTGTACACCAACCTGTCAAAAGAATATAACAGTGTTAAATAACTGGGAAACGTTTTATACTTGATATTTTGATCAATCTTTCGAAATAAACCCACTTTATAAGTATACATAAAGCTGCATGTTACATAAAATTTATTTCAATAAGCACATGTACTGCATCATGTTATCTACATGTATATAGTTTCAATTTGTTTTGTCTGTCAGTGATCATTTTATATGGAACTATATCATTGCATTTAACTTCAAAATAATATATATGTAAAATTTATTAAAACCATTAAAATTGCATGAGGTATTTTTGTAGAGGAAACCACATGGACACGATGACTTTTGTGGTGAAACTGAAAGTTAATATAAGCTTTCATACTAATTCCTTTCATTGACAATTTTTTTTTTTTTTCAAGATCTATTTTGTTTACACCCCTCCTACCTTGGTGTACTCCCTGAGATAGGTTTTCTGGTGGCTTTAAATGTAATAAACCCTGTGATGATTGAAAATATACTCCACACAAAAATAAAACGATGCCATCCAAACTTGAGACAGAAGCCCACTGGAAATAACCACATCCCTAACAAGGTGGCTCTCTGAAATTAAAATCACATTTATTTTTACTTTCAAATTCTTTTCAAAAATTTTTTTGCAATTTATTTTGACATTCTTCTAGTAAATTTATGGTCAGAAAATATCAACCAAATGAACATAGTAAAAATAAATATATATATGAATTTCTAAGACTTTACAAGTACAAATGTATGTAAGTAATTTCTTTTGAAAAACAAACTTAACTTCTCTACCTTGTTTTTGAACATAAAGTGCTGTTTATTTGCATGTTATATGTAATTCTGCAACACATACTTGGTATGATTTGAAATGCCTCTGTTTCCATTGGACCAGAACAATCTGTGCTACCACCAGTGTGGCAATCAAAATCAGCACCATCTCCAGATGCATGGCCTCGTGACCTCGGTGTTTCTCATGTAACCTCTGATGCTCGATCCTACAACATATGAATGTTATCACTTAGATGCCTCTTTAAAAAATTAGGCTTATTTATTTAGCGTAAGACCACAGTATATTTACTTCATAGCTGTGAAATACTTCCATGACAAGTGTTTAAATTTAAATAATGAAGTTATTTCAAGTTAATCAATCATTTACAAAACAGATAATCATCCATGATGATAAGGTTCTACAATATACCTCCATCTTTCTTTTTCTGGTAATTTGGCAAGTTCTTCGTCTGACTGTAAAATCAAGATGAAAAATATCAAATATCTGAACAAAAATAATCAATACATGACCTATCGAAATAAAAATAACACTCTTGAAAACACATTGCTGTCCTATATGCATATAACCAATTCCTACAACTAGTGACCCATACATAAATCCATGTGATACAAAACAAAGTGCACTCTTTCACAATTAATTGAGAACCATAACATATCTACCTCCAAATGAACCAGTTGAAAATGTGCTTTTGGATACCTGGGAAATTTCTGGGACACACCCATAACATCAATTCTTATCCATTTCAAGTAAAATGTAAAGAAACAACAAGCAACGTGTTTGTTAAAGATAATTTTTTATGTCCTTGTGTGTAAACTGCAGTTGTACAAGTCATGAGAACAGCTGTGTCGTTGAACAAAACAATCAATGACTTTGTCAATCTGACAACTGTCTACTCACCAGCAAAGGAGTTTATCATTGTGTGAATTCATTGATGGTGAGTTATTGATGAAAAGAAAATCTTTACAGTTTTCTGAGAAACGGATAGTTTATGGCATTATCACAATATATTAAACAACAGATTCATACAGGTCAGAGGGGGTTGTTTTATCTTAGGAGAGCAAAAAGTCTGTATAAACTCCATTACAGTTTACTGTTATTCGTTTTGCCTGCTTTTAAATCTTAATTTGTTGGTTGTAGATATATTTACTTACTTAAAGTTATTAATGAGTACATATACATCTTAGGTTAAAAGTACATGTATATTTCATTTAATTATTGCTCAGTCGAGCTAATTAAGGTCCATATTGTGATCATCAGAGCTTCAATAAATACCCAGGAATACTGGTTTTAGTGTAGCTGTAGGTTTAAGTATGATAATTTTCACTATACATACATCAACTCGAATCAAAACTTTTAATTCAACCTCATTTTGATTTGTAATGCTTTCAATTTAAATTTATGCACATTCTAACTTGATCTTCATCAGCTGATGTCACAAAATATCATCGTACAAATGAAGTACGGTAGTTCTGTAAGAGAGTGCAACTTTAACTTGGTCAGTCAACCTTAGGACCTATAAAGATACCAAACCTTACAAACAATTAGTTATGTCTGTACAAATCTTCTAGTACCTACGAAATTTAACTACATCAGCTGATGGAGTTCAAGTCTCCCTCTTAAAGATTGTACGTACATGTACTTTTCCACTTGTTGAGTAAAATTTGTACTATGGTGCAAGGGGCATCAATAACTAATATTAACTATTGACAGTGAATTTCAAAGTTTAAAATCCAGATCCTCTAATAAAGACATATATTATGCCTTGGTAGGAAAATTTGTATTTGAACAAATTTAAGTCAAAAGCATTATAAATGAATTCGAAAGTTTTGGAACAGACACATATAGTAAAATATTCAAGCTTAATGATACTGGGTATCAACAGAAAACTAGTAGGCATATCAATTTCTTTGATTATTTGAAACCTGAATCAAGGAGCTAGGGGCCAAAAATGACATTGAAGTACATTTTTGAGTTGTGTACTTTTGTGTAGATGGAGTAAAATATTTCAATACAGGGCTGTATGAATTTGCATATCATTGATGACACTTTATGTGCATCAGTCTGATTAAAACCAGCCCACCGAGTGAAAGGAGAAGGGGGCTTGTTTTATTCAGACTGTATGTGCGTGTACATGTATTAAAAATTACTCTAAAAAACCTTCGATTTACTTCGCCAATATTTTCTGCTCACTTCAGGTATTATTTCTCATAGTAAAATGTAGTTTATGCTTAGAATGGTATCCAATAATTAGTTACTTCCATTACTGATAATTAATTTACCCTTAAACTGTCCGAAACAGTCATTTATGGTTTTGGAATGTCAGTTTTAAAGATTTTATATACATCCACAATCAACCCTTCTTGTTGAACCATTGAAAGGTAATTATACATTTAAGGATAGGAGTTAATTGACCATTTCACGGTAACTGCAGTACTGCTCTTTTGCAGCGCAAAATGATATAGTTTGGTGAAATATGGCGTAAAAGTAATTGTTTAATATACGTCATTTAATTATCTGTCAACAAAAACTTCGCCAAACTTTATTAATTTCCCTGCAGAAGAGCAGTACCACAGTTGCCGTGAAGGGGCTAATGGTTAATTATCTGATATCATTTATATAGATGAGAAAACATAAAATAGAAGAAATTATACGTGAGGTGAGTGACAAAAAATCGCCAGCGTAGATCAAACGTTTTTACAACGCATGGATCTGTAGCTCTTGATCTGTTTTATCTGCTCAAATTTCGGAGCAGAGAAAGTCTAAAATATCTGATATTTTCCTAGTTCTTTTAATGAATTTGATATTTTACGTGCAAAGAAAACATCAGAACTAGCACCATCCTGAAAACTGGAAATTTTGCCACCTGCAACCAGAGATGATATACAACACATGCAAACCAAACTAAATGCTGAAATCAGAATTTATCAATAGCACAATGCTTATAGTACTTATCAACATTGACAAAAAGAAAACATCACTCCACATTTGATACTGGATTTGCAAGATTTTAACATGCACGGAAAACGTATCTAGTCAGTCTGATAAAATTATTTAATTGGATAATCCCCAATGTATATTTCATAAATGAACCATAGAAACGATGATTTTAATTAATTAAAGTATTGTGCTATTGATAATTTGTGAGTTTGACTTTTAATTCAGTTAGCAAGTATCTAAAATCAACCCTAGAATGCCTAGAATGCTGCAACTGGTTGGAGGTGGCGAATTCTCAGTTTTTTGTAATTGCGCTGGTGCTGACATTTATCTGGCACATAAAGTAACAATTTATTAAAAAAACAAGGAAAATGTCAGATATTTCAGACTAAAGCAGAGAGCTACTGCAGTTAGAAGCAGTGCACAGGCTTGGGGTCAATTACTTTGAAATGTAATTAATTACTTTCAAATACATTGATAATTTTGTCAATTACTTGCAATTACAATTACATTGATTTTTTCAAATGTAATTAATTACTTTCAATTACTTTGACAAATGTAATTAAATACATTTCAATTACTTCAAGTTTTATTTTTATAAAAAAAAAAATAAAGATTTTTTTTAAATAAGATTTTTTCTATAGCGATCGAATTCGAACTTTCATTCAGTGTTTTTGTTCTTGGGTATGATAAGGGTTCACACCTGGTCAAAATTAGACCTTTACCTTATAATGAGTGTGACACACTGTATAAACAAATTAAACATTATGAGACAATTAATTATTGTACAAACACAAGCCCATGCTACACCAGTATGGTGTATGGCAAGATCTTTTTTGTTACTTTCTCAAATCCATAGTTTTGAAGGAAATGAATAATATCTATCACAATTCCATTCATTATTTTCTATCTTAAAATGAATAGAATACAGGTAAATCTAAAAGGGGATGTAGTTAGTCTAATTACTGTAAAACAAATTAACTATCTAAACAATCACTGTTATTTGCAAGTGGGAATAGGGAGAACTGAGATTTATAAAACATGGGAATAAGTAATATAAACCCACTAGTATAAAACTATGTATCAGTATAAGGCACCTTTTTAAATATAAACTTTTCTTTTGAAAAAAAGTAATTGAAATGTAATTGAAAAGTAATTGAAAATACATGACCTTTTTTAAATGTATTTAAATACATTCAATTACTTGTAATTGAAGGCTTGCTCAAATACAAATTACTTCCAATTACTTTGAAAAATGTAATTAATTACACTCAATTACAATTACTTTATTCAATTACCCCATCCCTGGCGGCCAGTGCAGTTATCATGAAAGGGATAATACTTATGATGAAATGGATATTGGAGAAAGCATGCATTAGCCATTACAAAACCATTTCAATAATTTAACTCATACAGGTGTTTAGAAGATAAGTGTTTCTAAAATAAATGTATGATTCATCTATTCTGATATATCACTATCATTCACAAACTGTGACAGTGTAAAATAGCTTTTAGCGTTGTAGCCGAGAACATAAACTGTTTCTCCCGATTCCCCAAAATGTATATTTAAATTTTACATGGTATTATTCGAATAGAATCCAATCAATCCATGCCTTTTTACAGTTGATGGTTTTATCAAACCACTAAATTCTGGAATACATTCACTAAACATTGACAGCATTGAGGAAATTCGGATTGTGTCAAATGTTGAAAACTATCAGTCGGAATCGCTTAGATATTACTTCAAAGTCTGGGGACATTTTTCATCTCTTAATCTTGTTGTGAAATACGAAAACGTGAATAAAACCCCTTACAATATTGAGATTTATAGGTGCATGTCCATGTCCGGCGTGATGGTGGTGCGCCATCTTGCCTACGTAAACAGTTGTAACGCCATCTATCGTTTCATGACTAAAGAGCACAGTGGCGGATTCAAATGAAAAGCTGGAGGATGGAGAAGTAAATAAAACTTTTACGAAGTACATTTCATTTCATTTTATTTTCACCGGGAGTACCAATATGTGTAACTTTCAGTCTAATTTTAAAAAAAATCACCCTCGATCCACCTTTCATCATTGATGTTTAATAAATCATTTGTAAAATATAGATATTCGACTTTTTACTTTTTGAGCAAATAATTCCAACACTTTACTGAGAACTGGTTTTTGGTGTAATATTTTTAGTCCGTCTGTCTGTCTGTCCGTCCGTCCGTCAATTAATTTCTCCATCGTTCATGCGTGCGGATCATATCTTGCACTGTATATAACAAGAACATGAATTGGAATCCACCATTTGAAATGATGTAACTTGAGTAAATGATCGATTAATATATTTGAAGAAACTCGTATATCCCCAAAAGCGGATTATATTAGCCAACTCTGGAATCATGCACCATCTAATTCCACAGGGATAATGCAATATCTTAAAAATTGCAATCAATGTCAGAAGACGCATCTTGGGTTAGGAGGAGTTGTGTCGCAACATCAAAGTAGATTAACATTATCCTTATGTTTCAGATTCATTTGTACACATACAATTCGTACGTGTTTGCACGAAATACGAAATGTTACAGCCCGGGGGGGGGGGGGGGGGGGGGAGGGGTACACTTCTGCCGTTTGGCTTCCCTGCGGTGATTTCATTATTTGTTATTCATGGACAATGACATACAAGACACTAAGATCTATCATTTTGGTGTAACTTTTATATTAGAATTCAGAAAACCATGCATGCAAAATCTATAATTATGTATAGTATGTACAAGAATACACAAAGTGTATGAATATGAAACCCAAGATTTCCTGATCAAAAGTTATATAGAGTATTGAAAGATGAAAGAACCAAGAAAAAGGAAATATACCGTAAGTATAATAATATATCATTTGCCATTTATGATTTAGAAGTTTTTCTATAAAATTCTAAAAAAAACAAGATGTGTTTGTAAAACACTGATGCCCCCGTATGGCAACATAGAAAAGATTAAGCTTTTCTCAAATGCAAATTTAATTAATTGGTACAAAAAATCGGGTATTCTCACTGGAAAACAATTGTGAAATTTGAAAGTAAGCTAATGTTGAAGTTTTCTTAAAAAGTACAAAAATCTCCAAGGTCAAAAGGTCAATGTAATTAGTATCAAATGAAAGGTCTTGCCGCATAAAATACTTATGTAGAGCATGAAAGCCCTAGCCCTAACCGTTCAGAAGTTATGGTCAACGTTCAATTTCTAAAAAAGTAGGTCAAACTCCAAGGTCAAGGTCAATGGGTCAAAATTATTGTTATAAAATGAAAGGTCTTGTCATAAGGATCAAATATGTAAAGTATGAAAGCACTAGCCCTAACTCTTTAAAAGTTATGGTCAAGGTTTGCTTTTTTAAAGTAGGTCAGTCTCAAAGGTCAAGGTCAAAAGGTCCAAGTTCTTGGTATCCAATTAAGGGTCTTTTCACAAGAATTACATATATGAAGTATGAAAGCCGTATCCCTTACCGTTCAAAAGTTATGGCCAAGGTTAGAGTTTTTTCACTAGTACAGAAATCTACAAGGTCAAGGTCAAAGGGCCAAGGTTGTTGGTATTCAGTGAAAGGTCTTTTAACAAACATTACATATGTGAAGTATAAATGTCCTGGTGTCTACTGTTCAAAAGATATGGCCAAAGTAAAATTTTAAAATTTTCATGTAAAAGAAGTGGGTCAATCTCAAAGGTCAAGGTCAAAGGGTCCAAGTTCTTGGTATCCAATGAAGGGTCTTCTCACAAGAATTACATATATGAAGTATGAAAGCCCTATCCCTCACCGTTCAAAAGTTATGGCCAAGGTTAGAGTTTTTTCACTAGTACGAAAATCTAAAAGGTCAAGGTCAAAGGGTCAAGGTTGTTGGAATTCAGTGAAAGGTCTTTTAACAAACATTGAATATGTGAAGTATAAATGTTGTAGTGTCTACTGTTCAAAAGATATGGCCAAAGTAAAATTTTAAAATTTTCATGTAAAAGTGGGTCAAACTCCAAGGTCAAAAGGTCAAATTTGGTGGTACCTAAAGAATGATCTTGTCACAAGGAATATACATATGAAATATGAAAGTCATAGCTCCACTAATTCAAAAGTTATGGGCAAGGTTAAAGTTTTTGCGGACAAACAGAGAGACAGACAGACAGACAGACATGACAAAAACTATATGCCCCCGAAACTACGTTTACGGGGGCATAAAAATATATATATATACTTTTCCGTAAAAATAATACCAAAACATTGGGTGTCAAAGATACTAATAATAAAAAATAAAAATGTATGTTTTACTTCAGCAATCTGTCTTGTCGACATTATGTAATTTTTTAATTTTGAAATGGAAATAATGTACCAAATTATAAGAATAATGTAAAAATAATTATTCATAAGTTTACACTTAACTTTCATATCTTTAAATCAACATTTTAAGCTCGATATGTTAATACACTTGAATAGGTTATCGCAAAATATCAAGCCAAACTTGAAATAATCCTGAATTTTTTTTTATAAAAAGAGGAAAATTTTTAATTAAAATGATGTTGGATGATCAGACTAGCTTGAATCTTGAAGTCTCAATCTTCAGTTTCTGGTAACCTTCATATACCGGTACAAATGCACAAAGAGAAATCAACCGCTAAAGTGGTGAGTTCAATTCTGCAAAATAATAGCAAACTAGTTCTAATTGTAACGGGAACCGTTACAGATGTTCCCCAAACGCTCCCCAACTCCTTTTTGGTGCAATATTCCCTGTAAGCTTCATTAAATAAGACAAACTCTGTGCATTTTTGACTTTAAAAACGTTTTCTCAGAAGGATACCAATTATATTCAAATTTTAGCATTGCACCCGTGCGCATGTGAATGCATGTGCGTTATGATCATATTATCTTGTCTACACTATCTACATTTTTAATATACAATATATTAAATTATTCAGTCCAAAAGTAAGAAAAATCACTATTTCAAGTGTATTTTTCATTTCACTCGTTCCAGATGCACGCACGTGCGTGCACGTGCATGATTACCATACCTTCTTGTAGGAGTCCCTTATATCTATCTATATTCTAAATCCCATCCTGCTTGGTTGAAAAACAAGTTAGAGAGTTATAGCTATTTCAAGTTTAAGCCAATCAGATTGCAGCAAACGTGCATGCGCGTGATTTCATGATTTTTTTTTCTAAATCATATTGT